CCACCTACAAAACTGGGAGAATATATGGGCAAATCATTTATCCTATAAAATACTAATATCCAGAATATATAAAGAGCTTCTACAACTTAACAACAACTATTAAAACAGGCAAAGGACTTGGCCAAGGAGAGAACGCCTGTAATCCCAGCTATTAGGAAGGCTGAAGCAGAAAGATGGCAAGGTCCAGGCCAGCTTGGGCAATCTAGCAAGACCTTGTCTCGAAATAAAATAAAAAGGGATGATAGAGAACCCCTAGGTTCAATCCCCATGTCCCACAACAAAATTAATTAATTAAAATAAAAACTAGGGCTGGGGATGTGGCTCAAGCGGTAGCGCGCTCGCCTGGCATGCGTGCGGCCCGGGTTCGATCCTCAGCACCACATACAGACGAAGATGTTGTGTCCGCCGATAACTAAAAAATAAATATTAAAATTCTCTCTCTCTCTCTCCCTCCCTCCCTCCCTTTAAAAAAAAAAAAAACATTTCAAAAACTTATAAAAAAAATAAATTAAATAAATAAATAAATAAATAAAAACTAAAGCAGCTCTAGGGGTTTCTCGATTTCCAAGATCTACATGGGCTGGGTAGCATAGGCAGCTTGCCAGCCAGAGCCTCCAGGGCGCGGGCGGCGGTCCGGGACATCGCGCCCCGCCCCCGCTCACTGCCGGCCCCGCCCCGGCCCCGCCCCGGCACTCGGCTGCGGCCCGCCCCCGCTCACTGCCGGCCCCGCCCCGGCCCCGCCCCGGCACTCGGCTGCGGCCCGCCCCTGCTCTTTGCTGGCCCCGCCGAGGCACTCGGCCCGGAAGCAGGGCCGCCCGGCGTTTGCTCCGTGAGAACCCACCAGGAGGCGCCCGAGGGCCGGGCGGCACCGACCTGGCCTTTGAGGCCGCCGGCCTGGAGTTGGAGCGCGGGCCGGGTTGGGGCGCAGAGCCCGCGGCAGTGGGCCGCATTCTGTTCCCGGTTTCAAAACGCTCCTTTTAAAGTCTCTCTTTCGGGTTCCTACAATTGCAGGAACAAAGCTAGATATAAATGTCCCTTTTACCCTCCTGGAGGGTGACCACAGCTCTAGTTCCAAGGCGCAGACACCCCGGTCCACGGATGCCACTTGACTCTAAACGTCCAGGCCCCGGAGGTCCTCGCAGGAGCCAGGCTGTCCCCAAAGCGCCTCCATCCCCAAGCAGCCCTCCTTGCCCTGTGGGCCCGCATTTCCGCCAGGGGAGCCAGCCAGGCCCTGCACCCAGCGGGGTACCCACTTGAGGGTCCCAATGCCCCTTGTGAGCCTGCAGTAGGCCAGCCTGCAGACCTGTGCTCCTGCTCCTTGGCGCCCTCAAGGGTATTTGTGAGCTGGGGGCTCATCCTGTTCCCTTCAGTCTTCCTTGACTGTGACAACAGCTGGGTCATTTTGTGCAAATGCATCAAGTGCTTCCACACACTACTCTGCAGCAGGGTCCAGTGTGCTCGACCTCAACCCCCACCCTCAGAGGGAGCAGGGACCTCCGTGCCTACCAGGGCATCTGTCCTGTCCTGCCCTCATCTGTCCTTCACACAGGACAAACAGACTGGAGGAGGCAAGCCCCTGGCCAATGGGGACTGGTAATACCTGGCTTCTCTGCCCAGCCCTGGCCTGAAGCAACCCCCACAAACTGTAGTGGGCAGGGGGTGCAGCAGGGACTGGCAGACATGACTGGCCTTGGCAGTGCCCCAGGAGCTCCTGGTCAGGGTTGACTTGAACCCCCCCCCATACACTCCAACCACCCTCTGCAGTGGGGTGTCTTCCTCTCCATAGTGTCTCAGAGGTCAGGAGCAATGACCCTCCTGACCCCAGAAGCTGATGGAAGGGCAAAGAGTTAGGATAGAAGAATTGTAGAAGTCTGATCAGCAGGCTAGACCCACCCCCAGGGGACCCCAAGGGGCAGGCCGGGGCAGGAGGGGTCCCAGGGGCCAGGCAACAAGTCCCAGCCTGTCTCAGAGGGACGTCACAGTGAGAGTCTCCAGGGACCCTGGCTCCAGGCAGCTTCCCCATGTGCCTGGTCACACCTGCTGGTTTCCAAAACGCCCAGCACCCGCTTGCCCAGCCTCCCCAGGCCTGCGAGCTCCACGGTGCATCCCTGCTCGCTGGGGTCACGTGCCTCTGATTCCTCTGCCATCTCAGGCCCCACGGCCCACCACCACTCGGGTCTGTGCCCTGCTGTAGGCCCTGTTCCCCCCCCCACCCCCATTGCACCTTTTGGAAACACCTTGCATCATCCCTCAGGTGGCTGGTGCCCTGAGCTTCAGGGACAAGATCTTAGACAAACAGCCCTCAGGCCCCAGAGGCACTCCCAGGAGGAAGCTGCCTCTTTAGGATCCGAGCTCCCCCAAGGACAGTCATGTCATGTAGGGTTGTGGTCCTGGAGTGGTCCTCGTGAGCACAGGGCTGTTGGCCTGGATGGCCCTCCCACTCCCAGCCCAGGGCCTGTGCTGTGGCCTGGCCTGAGTGTGATGTGCCTGCTGGACGTGACAGCACAGTGGCTGGGACAGCCACAGGGTGGGGAGGGCAGGGACTGTAGCCCCTAACGCCTGTCCCCACAGGTCCAGCCCTCAGCGCCCTGAGTGCCCAGCTCCACCGCAGGAGGTGCCAGGGCTGAGCTTTGGGCCTAGTCAGGGATAACTCCACAGGGCTGATGGGCCGAGCCCACACAGGGCCAGGACAGCAGGCACAGGGGCAAGGAAGCACCCCATTCCCAAGGCAGGGAGGGGACAGGGAAGGGGAGCCAAGGGGAATGACGAGCCCTTCCTACTCCATGTCTGAAGACTGGCCTGATACCTGGCACTGGGTGCTGGATGGGAGCAAGGGCCAGCAGGACTGGGGTGCAGCCCTCCAGACAGCAGCACACCCATCACCCCTCTTCCCACCAACAGCTTGTGGGTGAGGAGGGCGTCCCTGCTCCATGGACAGATATAACAGGAATCCAGGAAGGAAGCAGGAGAGGGCGGGCCCGGGCAGAGGCCACGGTCTTCCTCCTGCGGCGCCCTCTGCCTAGCACTCTCGGGGCCTGCGTGAAGCCAGCTCACCCCCTGGCGCCCAGCCCTTCCTGCTTCCTGGCTGGGTTCACATGTTGCACTCCAGCACTTCCCGGCCCAGCTCCGGACTCCATAGCTCCCTGGGAGCTGCCTGAGAACCGTCCTAGGTTGGGTTCCTTGGTACCCTGGCCATAGTGACCCACAAGGATGGTAAGTCCCTGCCCCTCTCCCAGGGATCATCCTGGCTGTGCCAAGCCCAGGGTAGCCCTCTGTCCGGCCTCCCAGCCCACACCTTCAGCCTGGGAAGCCCTGACCTTGTACAGCATGGACTCCCCAAGACCAAGGCAGGTCACCTCCAGGACCCCAAGAAGGCCTCCCCCTTACCCATTCCCCTTTGCCTCACCCTCTCCCAATGGCCAGTCGAGGTGGCCCAGGTGTAGCCTACACACCTTCCCTGGGCCGGGCAGCCCTCCACCCATCCAGGTCCTCTTGCCCACCCCACCTTTGGAGCCCCTTTCCCAGCCCCTCTTTTTTTCTGTCTTTTTCTTTTTGGCACCGGGGATTGAGCCCAGGGGCACTTAACCACTGAACTACATATCCAGCCCTTTTTGTTTTATTTTTTATTTCTAAAAAGGGTCTCACTAAGGTTCTTAGGTCCTTGCTAAGTTGCAGAGGCTGACTTTGAATGTGCAATCCCCCTGCCTCAGCCTCCTTAGCTGCTGGGATTATAGGTCCTCTTATGAGCACACTGACAGTCTCAGGATAGGACTTGGCTACCTGTACTCCCACCACATGCCCCTGCAGGCTCGTGGCCCTCCAGGCCCCAACACCCCTACCTGTGCCTACTTCTCTATCCAGATATCTAACAAGCATCTTGGGCTATAAAGGACCAGTTGCCTGGGCAACAGCCAGACCCCGTCTCAAAATAAAATAAAAAGGGCTGGGATGTAGCTCAGTGCCAGAGCCCCTCCCTAGCATGTGCAAGGCCCTGGGTTCGATCCCTAGGACCACAAATAAAACATCATAAACTTACATGCATCAAAGGACACTATTGAGCAAGTGAGCCTGGCACCATACAAACGAGCAAATCAAAAACACCTGAGGAGAGATACCCATAGAATGGGGGAAAATTCTTACAATCATATGGCCAGTAAGAGTGTGTTTTCCAGAATATACAAAGAACTCTTACAGCCCAACAACAAAAATGGGCAAAGAACTTTGTCACAGTGTGACTCTAGAATGTTCCCAAAGGGTTGTGTATGGAAGGCTTGGTTCCAATGCAGCAGTGTCCAGAGGTGAGACTTTGGGAAGTGATCAGATCATGAGGACTCTGGCCTCATCAGTGGGTTAATCCCTTGGTAGATTCAGAGCTGAAGGGACCCTTGGGAGGTGGTGGACCGTAGGATGTAGGGCCCAGTCGGAGGAAGAAGGGCACCGCGGGTGTGCCCTGGAGGGGCACAGCTTGTCCCCAGCCCCTTCCCCTCTCCTCTCTCTGCTTCCTGACTGCCCTGAGGTGAACACCTGCTTGCTATGGTGTTCTGCCTCACCACAGGCCCACAGGGATGGGGCCAGTGACCATGGACGGAAACCTCTGAAATTGCAAGCCAAAATAAATCTTTACTCCTCTAAGTTTATTTTCCCAGGTGTTTTGTCACAGAGACATAAAGATGAGTAACATGGACTTGAATAGACATTGCTCCAAAGAAGATCCAGGGATGGCCAATAAGCACAGGGAAAATACTGCAGGCCACTACTGGTCGGGGAGAGATGCCACTCCAAGCCCACCAGGAATGGCTATTATCTTTTTAAAAAGGAAACAAGTTGGTCATATGTGTAGACATTGGGCCCCCTCGCACTGCTGGTGGGAAGGAAAGCGGTGCAGCCGCTGTGGGACCCTCTGACGTGGAGTCCCCAGTAAGTTCAACGTGGAGCCACCTCATGAAGAGGCAAAGAATAGTAAGTAGATGTTCAGACAGGAACTCGGCAAGGTGTCCTACCGCGGCTCGATTCACAACAGTGAAAGGTGGGTACCGCGATGTCCGCACAGGCCAAAGGGGTACAGCGCCGGCCAGAGCGGCCTGCGAGTGACCAGCGGGAATCTCTAGAGTGCTGAGGACAGTGGCCAGGATGGAGGCCCAGGGGAAAGGCCATGCCTGCTTGGTGTCCAGGGGCCGGGTGCACTGCGGCATCAACACCCGCAGGCGTGCTCTGACTGTGGAGCCTGGGCCAGACCCCAGATGAACACTGGAGGTGGTTCTGCCGGACCTCTTGGGTGAAGGGCAGTTGCAGAGCACTCTGAGGCACTGGGACCCCTCCGGGCGGCCCAGGTACCTGGCAGGGCCCAACAGGGCCATGGGCAGGGGCTTGGGGAGGCTTTGCTGTCAGAAGCACCTGTGGCCCCTTAGCCAGGCCCCTCGCAGACTAGACCCCATGGAAGCCTGGGGGCTAGTCTGTCTGCTCCCCAGCTAGCGCCCCAAGTACAAGCTGTTTACCTGGCAGGCGTCGGAGGAGCCCAATCCCAGGGCACCATCCCAGGGGGACGAATCCCCACACCAGCTGGAGCTCCCTTCCTGAAGAAGGCGCTGGCGGGGAGGCCGACGGAGCCGAGGCTACAGCAGGTCCAGCAGCCCTGAGAGCAGGCCCGCCAGCTCCTGGGCGCCGTTCCGACCCTCGAGACCATGCCTGCCTTTGTCCCGGCTCCTGGAGTCACTGTGTGACCTGCTCCAGGCTTAGGGCTCTGGGGTGTGGGTAGGAAGCCTGGGTCCCCTGCACTGGCCCACCCAGGGTGTGTATGTCCCCGCTCACCTGCCCCAGGGGCCCCTCTCTGAGCACACCAGAGTCTGCGGGTGACAGGAGGTAGGGGAGGAGGAGGTTGGGGGCCCAGAAATTGTCCCAAGGCTCAGAGCCCCAAGGCCTAGCTAGGTGGCTACCTCTGGGCCGTCCCTTTTACACACCCCGATGCCCACCCACCTGGCTTCCTCCTGTGGGCAGAGGTGTATGTCCCTGCATCCCTGTCCACTTGTGTCCCTGATGCCTGCTGTGGCCACCCTGCCCTTTTATCTGTGTTTGGGTCCATAGTACCCCTACCCCAGAAGATGCTCCCGAGGATGTCTGGGGAGGGAAGACTTGGGCCTGCTGCACCCCAGGGCTTCACCCCAGTAACCCCTCAGGCCAGGGGGTTCCTGGCCTCAGTGAGGAGGAGAGGCCCTGGGCTGTGTTCTCCCAGCTGTCCCTTGTCTCTGCAGCTAGGTGGACACTTTGAGAAGCCAGTGTCTCAGAGATGCCTTGGCTGACCTTGTCAAGGTCATGCCTCACCCCTGCAGTCAGGCCCAGGGCTCCGAGAGAGGGCAGTCAGAGCCGCAGGTGTTAGTCAGTCAAACTAACCTCAGCTATAAACCCAACAACCAGCGAAGCATTTCAGCTGGAGCCAAACCCAGGTTTTAGCCACCAAGCAGGCGGGGACCACCTGGGCTGCTTCTTCCGCCATCCAGCAACCTCCCACCTCCTGCCTTTGTGCTGGGTGTTCCACATTGACCCGACAGAGCCCTTAGTTACGGCCCCTCCCTTCCCTGCCACCAGGGCCACAGGAACCTGAGGGAGCTGTCTGGAGTCCTTATGGGGTTAACATACAGACATCTGAGAGTCTTCTGTGGTGCTCTTCCAGGGGTGAGGGTACCTGAGGCTGGCAGCCATTTCCTTGCCAAGCAGAGAGAAGGCGCTACCACCCAGGAAAGCAGAAACAGGGTGGGCCACAGAACCCTGACTCCTCACTAAGGGCCTGGATCCAGCTGTACCGGACGCCCAGATATCTGCCACTCAATTTCCCACTTCCACACAAGCTGGTTTAAGCTTCTACCACTTGCTACCTGACTCCTGTGTTTCATGCAGGGATTCTGCTTTGCCTGCTCATGGATACCTCTTTCTCCATTAGAGAGTTTCGTGTTTTACACCAGGAATGAGGGTGACACTGGGTGGAGTCAGGACTCGGGTATCTCCCCACATGCGGTTCCAGGGGGCATGCCCACTACAGGAAGCCCAGAGAGGAGAGCAGATCCTCTCGCCTGGCTCCTAGAGGCAGCCCCCTCTGGCCAGGTCCGAGCTGCACACCTGAGTCCTAGTCTCGGATCGGCTGGGCAACACCGTCAGCCCCAAGGAGCTGCCTGGACTTTCCCTAGGCTTCTGGTCCAACTCTGGGGGAGGGAGAAACATGCCCTCTGCCCCACCTGGCACTGCACGGTTTCCTGCTGTCTTCCATGTTTTGGTGCCCTTGCACAGGGATGTCTGGCCTATGACTGACGTGGGAGACCAGGAGGGTCAGAGCCAGTGGGATGGGAGGCTGGGACAGACGCTGGCTCCCTGTACTTGTGGGGAGGACTTCAGGGGTCCTTCAAGGTCTGCTGGGGGCCACAGGCAGCACTGGCCTCCTCCCTGAGGCTCAGGAGGCAATGAGGCCCCGCCCTAGCTCTGCGGCATAGCATCCTCCTGAAGGCACACCTGTGACCTCGCCAGGCACTCCCATCTGGTCACCATCCTCCCCTGGTCTGCAGGCCACTCACCACCAGGTCTCTCCAGTCTACACCCTTACTGTCTCACTAACCAGTCCACATAGAGCTGCCCACCCAGCTCTCCCCATGTTCCTCCTCATCCCTTCCAGCAAGCTGACAGCTGTGTGGCTGGACAGGACTCTTGAGGTAAGGGCCTTGGGCCTGCCCATTCCTAGTGCACTTGGGCAGAGTGCCAAGGGTTAGGGAGGAGTGTGGTCTCTCCCGGAGTGTGGCCCTGTTCCTTCACCAGACCCTGCCTTAGGTCGACTGCAGGAACTAATTAAAGCTTTCCTCTTGGTCACCTACATTCTGCATCCCCTGGGCATCCCCTGGGTATCACATGTTCCTCCCTGTCCTTTGCAGTGTGGAGGCAGGGCCAGGCTCCATCTCACCTCCTGGAGGCAATGTGGAGGTCCGCATGGTGGACCAGAGTGTTGAGCAAGACAGGGACAGATACCCAGCAGGACAAAGGGGCAGTGGCCTCTCCACTCCTGCCCTCTTACTGTATCCAGATATGGAGAGTCACTCTGCAGCTGTGAGAAAGAGCCTTCAAAGCCTGGCTGGAGAGAGGCACCTGGGTGCGTCCAGGCCTTGCTTTGGGTCCCAGTCACGTGCACAGATTGTTTGAATAATTCAGATTTAAAAAGACCTACTTTCCCGTTAGACCATTTCCTGCTGAAGAGCAGACCGGGGAGGGGCATCCGAGTTATACATCCAAGCTCCCTGGGTTTTGAGAGAAGGCTGGGCACCAAGCCAGATCCTGGGCAGTGCCTCCACCCTGGGGCCCTGCTCAGCTCTGCAGCTGACCGCTGGCCTGGCCCTTGGCAGGAGATGTCTATGATCCTTGTGGAGAAGGTGGTGTCGCGGGAAGGGATCAGGAGAAGCCTTGGGCTCCTGGTTGAAGGATTTTTGCCCCACTGTGGAGGGGGCTGGGTGGCAGATGTGAACCAAAAATTACAAAGGCCTGGGATGAAAGAGGTGGAGGGTGGGTCAGGGAGGACAGAGGCTGGGCCCTTTGGACCTTCTAAGGTACAAAGGGGAAGGCTGGCTCCTTATCATCTGCAGGGAGGGGCCCTGGCTGGAGTCTGGAAGCTCCTGAGGGTTCCCAGTGGGTTTGGCCAAGGTCTAAGGCACCTGTCCCCAGGGCCAGAGGCCTGACTGTGCATATCCGAAGGCAACAGAGTCAGGTGGCAGCCTCCTCCCTGGCTCAACTTTGCCCCTCACACCCCATCCATAAACACATAAATGAGGATTTCTGTCAGGGTTGTAGGGTAAGTCTCAGAGAAGGTCCCACATCACCCCAAATGCCTTCAGATGACATGCAATCCCTGGGGCTGCACCTCCAAGGTGGAAGGCTGGGGCAAGCACTGGGCTGGTGACTTCACGTGTGGCTTTTCCCCATGGTTCTGGGCCCAACTGCATGGATGGCCTCAAGGCCCAGCCTTGACAGTGCCTGTGATGCCCAGTCTGACCTCCCCGACCAAGGCCCTGGGCCAGGCATGCAGAGACCAGGAGGGCAGGGTCTGGGCCTGAAGGTCCCACAGCAGCAGAGGTCTCTGTAGAAATGACTGTCCCCTCACTCACCTGGGGAAGCCTTGCTGCTGCCTCTGTGTCCCCTCTAACTCACCCGCTCTTCTCATTTCTACTTTAAATCCTTGACTGAGGCGGGAATTAATGGGTGGCACCAGCCCTGTTGGATCTGAAGACAGCCTCTGACCCTCAGAGTCTGGGACCCACCTGCCAATGCCCCAAACCCCTGCCCCTCTGCCTTTCCATTGTCCCCTGGCACTGAATGTGCTCCATGCTCCATCACTCTTAGGAAGACACCTGAGGATATCCATGTGGCTGTGTGCACATATAGGTGTGTGCACGTGGACATGTCTGCTCCCACCAGCTGACTCCTGGTGGGCACTAGAATCAGGGATACCCCAGTGGCAGTGAGCACTCAGGCAGCACCTGGATCCTGGCCTCTCCCGACTCCTGCCACTAGCTCAACCAGGGCTGCTGGGGAACTGACCTAGTTCAGGGTTGGGGCAGGGAAAGTACAAAAGGAACCTGGAGTGTCTTGTGTCAAAAGCAAGGAGCGACTCCTGGGTGTCTGTGTATTGACACGAAGCACCCAGGGGAGAGGGGAAGAGAAGGCCTCCTCTGTAGGAGGAGCAGGGAGTAGGATGGAGAGAAGGTTGTGGACGCTCTGGAAGCTGCATTTACTTCTTCCAGTTACACAGAACAAGAAGGGCAGCCCACCTGCGGGGAGGCAAAGAAGGGAGCCTAAGGGTGCAGAGAGGACGGTGGGTGATGGGCCACCTGGGGGCTATGGCGCTGGATTCTGGAAGGCCAGTGGATGGGGCCTAGAGGAAAAAGGGCCCTGGGCTTTGTCTGGAAAGGACAGCACGGGGGCTGACGGGCGCGGTAAGGTGGGAGTGAAGAATCAGGTGAGGTGGAGGAGGTGAGGGGTTGGGAAGGGGGGTCGGAAGGCGGCAGGAAAGGCGGATGGGCCCGAGGGTGACCCATGGTCCCGGAGGTTTCAGAGGCCACCAGCCCTTCCTGACCGCCTTCCTGCGTCCCTGGGTTTCGCGTTCCCGCTCCCCCGCGCACCGTCCACCCCTTCCTTGGCCTGGGCTCCAGGCGCCTTCCGACCCTCC